GCTGAACTCTCCAAGCCTCAGTCTGAAGACAAGAATTGAAGTAATTAGCATGTATTGTTTGAGGAATGTAATGTTGCCTCTGCTCATCTTGATTTTCATGGATTGGAGCACTAAATGGTGCCTTTGGGAAGGCTCACTTAAAAAAAAAAAAATTCCTAAGTGCCTTGAGTTATAGTTCTGTGCATGGCCTGAATTGCCCCAATTGCGTCATCCAGCACAGCGCTGTACCTATTGCATTCAAGAGCTTTCTCTTAGGATCCACAATGAATCAGCCCTTCACTTTACTTTGAAAAGGGCTCAGCCTGTTAGACTACCATCTCAGACAATGTCCAGCATATGCCCATAGACCCAAAGCCCTCACAAAACGCAGCACATCGATAGCATTGTCCTCTAGAAGGCAGGAGACTCAGCTTCTTCCATTGCTGGATGGCATTTAAACCCATGTTTCCCAGCTGCGAGGCTGTTCCCCTGCCCACAGCAAAACTTTACAGGGAAGTGTGAAGGCCTTGCTGAGCAGCGATGCCTGGTTCTTAGGGCACTTAGGGGGGAGGGAAGAGTGATGGGGTGCAGTCCTTACTCCCAGGGCAGTTTGCACATTTTAACCAGTGACTGTTTAGTGCAAAATGACACAGCTTAAGATGCTCAGAGGATCTTTTTGTATCCCAAATTAGTTGTTTCTCGATGAGTTGAAATCCTGGTGTGGATTTGACAGCTGCCTAGAAATAGCACCCAAACTGTCAGGTCCCATTTCTCCCACACGTTTTGCTTCAGCCACGGATGTCTGAACTGCTGTTTCCACTTGACTCTGCAGATGCCAGCTGGGTCATTTGCAGTTTTTACACCGAGTCCCCAGAAGAAGCTGCAGCTATGGGAGTCTTGGCTCTCTATCGTGAGGTGCCACTCAGTGGAAGCTGCAAGTACATGCAGCCTTCGGCGAAGTTTCTGCCTGAAAGAGGGACTGGTCTCTAGCTGGGCAATCAGAAGCTGCGCTCGCTATCCCAAATGCTGGATTTCAGTCTGTGGCAGGGACTGGCTGCCTCCGTGCGTTGAGAATAACTCACACCTTTGGGGACGTGGCAGTGAGAAAAAGATGAGGAAGTGCTATGCTTGGCAATCATAGCTGGGCACTGCTCACAGGAGGTTTGCAAAGCTTAGGGCAGCCCTACGTGGGCTGAGGTGTTCCAGGCATTGCTGCCTGTAGTACGGCCTCTCGTACTTTGCAGGGTTTCCCATCCCAAACACTCTTCTGCCTCAGATTAGCTAGAACTAGCCCCTGAGCTTATATCTCAGACTTGCATCTCACACAGGCTTAGCCCTTCTGTGACTGTTTGTTTCCTTAAAGTTCCTTCTCCAGTCAGCTACGCATCAAAAGGCTCAGCTACTTTCGTGTCCGATGTCAGGCTCAGGCTCAACTACAGGTATGTTAAGTTTCCTGAAGGGATGGTCAGGACAGCAATTTCCGACCCATAACAGTTTATTATTTGTTTACTAACTCTGACAGGACAAGTACGTGACCCATCACAGAGAAGTTTACCCCCTTCAAAAGAGAAAAGCCCACTTGACTGGCAAGGAAGAAAAAACCCCATAAAATCCTAAACTCTAATAACATCTGGAAAAGAGTTCTGCTGGCGGAAACAATGGGTGGTAACAGGGTTCTGTAAGTTTGTCGTTCCAGTGTGTGGTTTTCAGTTGAGAATTGCCCTGAAGAGCTGCACTAGGTAGATATTTCTGTGGCTTTATAAGCAATTGGAAAACAGTCACTTCATCTTGCTTGTGTTGTTTTATTTAAACTCAGCTGGCTTAATCCCATTGCAATCAGGTTTATTTGATGTTTCTCCATAAGCTAAGTACTGCTGGATGCTCCAGCACAATATGCTTTATGGCAAGGAGTGAAAAACACATGAGCAGGCTGTAGTGTTAGCAGCATTCCCTGCCATTGCCCTTTGGCTCCTGTGAGCATTGGGTTTTGCTGTGGAATAGTAAGGAGGCTTCGCTGACAAGAGGTGGGGATGAGCATGACTGAGGAAAGGGAAACCACTTTGACTTCATCGTTATACTTAAGCTCCACAAACTGCCCTTTGCTGATTGATGGCCTGATGCCCACACATCTCCGTTCTTTTTCTGGCTCTTTCTTGCCTCACTGATTCATTCTGGGTGAAGAAGCTCCCATAAACAAAAGGCAATCATTTCAGCATTGCTTCCACATTGGGAAGTGCTATTTCAGTTGCTAGGGGATCTGCTTAGAAAAAAAAGCCAACTCTTAAAAACAGTATTTCCATTTCAGGCAGTCTTACCTTGTGCTGTTTTGTTGTTTCAGCTAATTTTGCAAAGATTCAGATCCTGCTTTTGTTTTCCTATTAATATCTGGGAGGAGGGAGGGGGAAGTCTTTATTGACTTATGGCTGCTTGAGAACTGAACTTGCATGCATGTGTACATCACAAGGAACCTAAACTGAGTCCCTTTCTATTGCTGCCAGAGGGCAATATGTCACCTAAGTTCCTGGAGAGGAAGAAAGAGAAATGGTACAAAATCTAGAGGCAATTGTGCTGATTTTTTTGGCTTTGGCTCAGGTTCAATGTTCGAGTAGAACATATTGAATACAATTTTTAAAATTCAGCAGTATTCTTGTGAAAATGATCAGATATGTCTGGTGGGAAAAGCAAATGGCTCAGAAAATTTTCTATGAACGAGTCTTAAACACAGGTGGAGAGGTCATCTGCTTATAGGCTCAGGCAACAGTACTAGCAATGGAAACCTGGGATCTCGATGGAGATAAAGAATTGCTAATAAAGTAATTGTCCCCAGATTAAAAATTTTAAAAATACAGATTCATACAGTTGTATCTGAGGTTAAGTAGAATGCAGCACTGGTAACCACTGCAATAAAAGTCCTTGGGGCGTTTTAGGTAAAGAACAGTCTATGCTTGCAAGTAATTTTAGCAGCTAAATGACTCTGCTCATTCTCTGATACGTAATGATAATGTCTTCAATTTCACATGTTGATTTTTAAACAACGCATGTCAAAATAAAGTGAGTTCCATAGTCAAATTAGCACAGTCATAGGTTTGCCGCCTTCTCCGCACCTCATTGGAAACTCCACGTGTTGGAGCAAGCTAAATCTCTTCTCCTCAAGGAGACTATTGGAGTGGGGCTTAGGTCGTTCTGCCCAGGCAATACACATGAAGGACCAGCTGGTCATCAACCGTAACAAGTGTAATGCGGCACAGCACATACTCCAGCAAATGCTCCAGTTGTGCTCCCTTAAAATCTCTTGAAACCTCTAAGCACTACATTTCCATTGTCACTAACAGACATCTCGCCAAATAATCTCCTTAGTGGACTACAGATAAACGCCCTCCTAGTTTTTGCAGTAAACAGTATTAAATTCAGCGTAGTTTTAGACGGGAAGAGGGTGGGAGGAAGAGCAAAGGAATTTAGTATTGGCAGAAGGTGCAGTATGGACAACCCTGGAATCACTAATCCATGGAAATTGTGGGACAAGGTCTGCGGGGTGGAGCTTCCTCCCTGCCTGTGTTGCTCCATGGGAGACAGCACTGGGAGGGAAGGAGAATTCGGGTACTATGACTGCTGTGCCTGCCACAGACGTCAGGCTCTAGTATACTGGTGTAGGGCCACACAGGCAGTATAGTTACTAAAACAGGCTCTTGAGATACCCTGGCTGATCAGCTCCACATGCCTCTTCTGTGTCTGGTAAGGGAAATGGTACAATGTAAAGGGAAACTTTCCATATGTGGCCTATGCCAGATACACCTGTATGTACGTGTGGTCAAATGCTACAGAAGATAGGAGCTGCCGTGTGCAGCAAGTTGTTTCATGGTGCTGAGTGAGAGATGAGCTTGGAAAACAGTATCTGTGCCAGCAGAGTGTAACCCACATCAGTGCCAGGAGCATCTATGATGAAACACAGGCCTAGTGAGCAGCTAGTATTTTTCTGCTTGTTATCTTTCCCACATTTAGGAAGCAACATATGAGGAGAAATTAAAGGGTGATGTGCTAGGATAGGAAGAAGATCCCCAGATGCTGTAACTTCACTGACCCAGTGTGTCAGCCCAAGGAAGAAAAGTGAGCAGCAAGAACAGCTTCTCAGGCATCTCCATTTAGTCAGGCTCAGCTTCTGGGCTCTTCAGGTCTGGCCAGCAACAGCCTAAATATTTTTCCAAAATTTCTGAGTTACTTGGAAAATTAATGTCATTGTCTTGGTTGAGAAGCACCAGCAGAACTGTCCTTTTACCCATGGACTGCCTGGAGAACAGAGTGGCCAAAGCCAGTGAGGGCCATGAACTGGTTTCCCTGGTCTCTGCTGTGATGCTGACAAGGGCTATGGCTGGCAGAGCTCTCTGTGCATGCAATCGTGTAGTCATTTGCATTTATAGCAGTTTCTGACTGCAGAAGATGCTCCTTACATTTCAAACAGCTCTCTTCTGAGCAACAGGGAATTCACTCTGCTGAGGTGGTGGCGCGGATGGGGATGACATTGCCACCATGCACGTGTTTTGGTACTATTAACCATGCTCCTTTTCGGTTTGCTCCACAGATACTTTGTGGGAAAGAGATCCCTCGCTGGGTGAACCGCCTGGCCTACTTCAGCTCGTGCATCCCCTTCCTCCAGAGCTGCCTCCCCAAGGAGTGGCTGACCCCAGCAGCCCTGCAGAGCCACATCAGCCTTGGCCTCCACAAGGAGGAGCAGGGGGACACAACGGATGAGGAGTCCCCCTCCACCTCCGCATCCCCCTCAGCCTCAGGCACATCGCGAACCTGTAGACATACCCGGGTCTAAACTGTGCCCAGTATGCCCTCAAATAACATCCCCCTCTCTTGTACTATTTCTTTCTCACACCCTTTCACACACCTTGGTTTCTCTCTTCTCTTCGACGGACAACACAGGGGAGGGAAGACCCTTTCTACTAAGGAGGTGAAACTTCAGTCCCTTTTCCAAGGGCTGCCACTACAGTTGCTCAGCAAAATGACTGTGAGCCCCAACGCTAAAATGAAGGATTGTGGTGACTAAGCTGGATTCTCCTCCCAGGGCCGCTGTGCTCCTCGATCCACGAACTGCTGGCTCTCTCAGGCATGAGAGCATGCGTATGGGCAGGGGGGCACCATACTGTGATGTTCCTTCTCTGGAACTGTTTTATCTTTTTATCTCTTCCCCCACCCCTGTGAGCCCAGCAGCCTCCTCTCTATTTTGGCTGGGTTTGCCATTCCCCTATGACAAATATGCCCATACCCAGTGAAGGAAGCAGAGCCAGAACTCAACCTTCTCATCTCTTAGACCAGCAACAAGCTCCACTCAGCTCCATCCCTTTTGTAATTATCAGGTTTATAACTCATGTGAAGGACAAATGAAAGGTGCTGCTGTTCTACAACCACCAGTTTTCAGTACTCAAATTTAAGAGCTCAAATGACTGTCCTGCTCTTGAAAATCATAACAAAGAACCTAGAAAATGAATGTGTTACCACAGCTTTTCTTTGGGGTCAAAAAGAGGATGGGGCTAGTGCTTAGAGGCAGCTACTAAGTAGGTGCAGAGATGACTGTCGACCATTTTGGTGCTTTTTGGCACAGATCCCTCTCAGTTCCCCTAATTCTGGGCAGTGTTCCTGGTCTTTTTTTTCCCCAGACTCCCTGGGGAATTTCTCTCCTAGCTGAGATTTACTGGCTGTCTTTGGGGAAATGGCCCTCCTGAGCACAAGGAAGAGGACAGAGAATCTGTTAGGAAGGTCAGTATTTCCTTCAGCTTCTCCTCCTGCACTCACAGACCTAAAATGTGGCTCCAGAGCCGCCCTTCCCAAGCCTATTTTCAAGCCAGCACAAGAAGGTAAAAAAATAAGTGGTGAACCCAAAGAATGTCAACCTGTTTCCTTCTCCTCCCTTTTTGGAGGTGGAGGGGGAAACTTAGGGCCACATCTGGAAAGCATGGATGACCCTTCCAAAGCATGGGCCACCATGGTGCCTTCCGTTGTGTGCAGTATTTCAGTGGCATGAAAAATGGGCACTGCTGGCTCACTGGCCTCTCCAAGCTGGCTCTTGACAAGAATCTGGTCCTTGGATGTATTTATGGTCATTCTGACAGGTGACAAGAAAGCAGAGGAGGAGGAAAGGACCACCAACTCTTCCACTCAATTACCTCACTAGGAGTTCTAGTCAGAAGATGTCAGAGAGAATCAAAGGGGAAATCCAGGCCCCCTCTCTCTCTTGCAACTCCTCTTGGCTACACAAAAGCGGATGAAAAAGGAACAGGCACGGTGTTGAGAGGGGGGTTGCCATTTTAGAAATGTTGTTCTCAACAGCTACTACCAAGTCAGGACTTCGACTCTTCACCCAGAAAGAAATATAAGCCCTCACGATAGGTGGTTGTTTCCTTTTATTGGTCACAATAGCATGCTAAGTCCAACCAGCTGTTTCTTTAGCTCAGGTATACAGAAATGTGTGTTATCAGGGCTGAAGGTCTTGGCTATGATGTACATCATGTCTGCACAGGCAGTGCTTAATGGTTAGTTACATGTGCATGCTCTTAGTGAAGCAGGAGGCTTTGGAGAGATCTGTTAGATGGAAATATAACTCACAGGATGGCCTCACTCAAACGCCTCCTGAAGTGATGCGTGTTTGGGCAACAAAACCTTTACATCAAACCTCTCATTTTAATCCTCTGAACAACCTGCTGCAAGTTCTATACTGAACTAAAGTCAAGATCCTTATTAACCTTGACTCCTCACAGCCCATACTGCATTGTGAGCAATTCTGCAGCTCCTGGTATTCAGCCCAGCACCAATCTTGATTACGCTGGCTTGTCCAGGGATGTTTAATAAGATTTCCATCCTGTTCTCCATCCCGCTGCCCAGAAAGCACATTACACAATGTACCCTTGCACTCTCTATTCCCCTGCAGTCATGGTCATTGCAGCCTAAACCAGCAGCGCAAGCTTCATTTGTCTGAAGTTCCCAGGGTGCCTGCCAATAGCCAGCAGCACATTATGTGCAGAGAATTTTAAAATATCTTTTTAGGTCCTTCTCTGGAGGAAAGTGAGAAGAGGCTTTCCCAGAGATTTTGTCCAGGCCAGGGAAACTGCAGTCAGGAACACCTAGTTCCTGATGTGACAAAAGCCAGCCAGCCATTGCCCTCAGGTTTCCGCTCTGCACCTGAGCTCCAGATAAAGCACCATGTATACATCTAGGAGAGACGCAGGGCTCCAGGGGCACATTTCACACAGAAAACCTTCTCACAGTATTTCACAAAGTAAAAAATGCTTAACTGGCTGTATGGTAACCCGTACAAGAAAGCTCCATTCAGCCTCCTTGGGGACATGAATATGTGCTTGAAGTATTGGGAACTACACTGGGGTGAGTTGTCAATGTCATAAAAACCAGATGTTTGTTTATCTATTTTTATGTTTGTCCGTCTGTTTATGGCAGTTGGGGTCACATCAAGGAGGCATCAAACCTCTGTTGTAAATCAAAACCAGAATATATTCCAATCTTCAAAAGCGTTTCTCCCCACCCCTCTCTGTTCAAGGTGGCTGACCAACAATGACAAGAACAAAGGGACACTGTGGAAATAAAATATATATTGATGATAGCTTTACCTCTGTAATTTAACAGCATTTTAGATTATTAAACATGAAGACATTTTGAAAGTCTAATTTACTGTTCATCTCTGGCACAGCATGTTTGTTTTAGGCACTTTTCTTATCCCTCCAATTATTACAAAATTATTGTTGTTATTATATAACTCTGTATTTGTATTTAGCCACACATTTGCTTTCTCTTGCTGTTTTAGAGCATAACACCACGGCAATACTTTAGATACCAACAGTTATCAATAAAAACAGAAGAGCAGCTTATGAATCTTAACAAGAGCAACCCATGGCACTGCCACAAACTCTTAAGCTCTTCTTCTTACTGCCAGGACTTTTGGTGCCCTTATAAATGCTGGAATGAGGGGGCACCAACTCCGCACATGGGCATCAGCAGCTGTGGGTTATGTCTCTAGCAGAGAGCTAATAGTACTCAGGTGGGACAGTGAGGGTGAAGGTGAGGTTAGTCTAATGCTGGAATATTAGAGTTACAATACACACTGTTTCTAGGTAAAGTCAGGGTGAGAGGAAAGAGGTAAGTAATAACCTCTCTTCTCAGCACGTCTGTATCTATAACAGCAAGTCTCTTCATTTTAGGAGATTATTCTTACTGATTATTTTTTTTTGTCAGTTGGCTTTCTCTTCCCAAGTTTGTGATTTGAGGCCTATATCTCTCAAACTCTTATGAAGTTTTAAAAGGAACAGTTGTGCTTTCAGAGGCTCTGCGTGAGTTCATCCCCCAGCACTGAACCTGTGCTCTGTGATGAGTTCATGCCAGTCTCAGCACAGTGCAGGGATGAACACAGACCTGTTTGCTTGCTTTTGCCACTCCCAGCCGAGAGTTTGTATTTCTGGAATTCAGACTCATGTTGGCTTTGTGTTATTGGAGGTAGTCAATAAGAAGTCATCTCCTGCTATGTTGGTTTTTTATTCTTTAGTTCTGTTTATTTGTCTCTAGGCTGGAGAGGCTCCCAGAACAGGTTAGTGGCCACTGAATTGCAGTAATGTTAGTTTATCTTGTTATTTATTATATGTGCTTGACTTCTCATTTTAGTTGGTATTGATATGGTGGCTTATTGACATGTTCAGAAAACTTAAGTACCGCCCCCAATTCCTTGATGTGATTAATGGGGAAGACCAAAGCAAGTAATCATCAGTGTTTCATTTTCCAAATGGTTTTAAATTACTCTTTGTGTTGAACCAACAGGTGCCCTGTTCCACTTTATCCCTGCTGTTCTCGCCATCAGGCAATGATTTAGGTTGTGGAAAGGCTGTGTAGTGACTCAGGTAGTATTTAAAAAAGGAGCTTTCATTCTTCTGGCTCCACTCTGCCATTGTCATAGGCTACCAGAACATGGCAGAGCCTTTGGCTATAGTATTATGTGTAAACATCACAGCCTATGCCTGGAGAATACGTGCTCTTATCTCCAACAGGACAGGGCTCCGCCATTGTGCATGTGGCTGCACCTGAGAAGTGTTTGAGTGGATGGCAGGGCACATTTAATTACTAGCAAGAATGAGTGACTAATGTCACTACATCTCAGAATGAGACTGTCCATTAGCACTGTTGTAGCCAGCTTTCTTTTGAAAAGGCTGTAAAAGTTTCTGGGGGACCAACGTGATTGGGATAAGGGATAACAATGCAGGAAAAAAGACAGTATGATCTTGGCAATCTTCTTCCCTTAGGACACCAGGCTACAGAATGAAAGATATGGCTAGTGGCCAGGCTTTCACAACTGCTTTAATCAATGAGCTTTGATGGAAAGTTCAAAATTACAGAAGAAGGCCCTCTGTAAAGACATGTATTCACCTACAAAAGCTAGTGGGGACTGCGTGTGCAGCTTAACAGTGTTTAGCTGGCTCGTCTCTTGTTACAAGATTCAGCTGGCTGAGTTGTGGTCATCCACTGGGTGACTAACACAGCCTTCAGCTCTCACTGGAGATGGCAGAGGCTGCACGTTTCTCTCCAGTGGTGCCCTCTGTGATTACTGATCCCGAATTGCCATGTTTCCTGCTATTCCAGCCCTGCTCTCCCTCCCACCCTGCCAAGGTATGCCAGCTGTAAGCTGCAGCAGCTCTTAGTCTCTCCATGTGACTTGCTTTCCTGAAATGTCCCTGACTGCAGTTCTGCAGGCTGGCTTTTCTGATGTGTGTGTGGAGGTGAAATCCCTAGCTCTGTTGAGCATCAGTCAACTAGTCAGTCATTTGAACTAGTCATCATTTGATTGTGATTTTGCAGAGTGGCAGATTTTTGTCTTTGATGTCCACTTTACTCAAGCCAAGTCCTTTTACCAAATAACCCACAGAAGCACAAGAGGAGGTTCAGAGCACAGAAAAATGTCAGGAATCTGAGTCAAGTCCTTTCACTTGAAAATCTTTGTAAATGTTCAACACAAAACAGATAGGTATGCTCAGAGGCTAGTAACCTTACATAAGTGAAATAAATCTCTATTGCTGGAAGTTCTTACAAAGTAGCTATATGCAGAGCTAAATCTTCTCTAGGCTCCAGAGTGCAGTACCTAGAGCTCCTCAAGCAAGAAAAGGCAATCCTCACCTCACTGACAGGTGGAAGAGCACTCTCGCTGCTGCTGGGAATGCTGCAGCAGCTATCAATGCTCACATGAATTTTTCTTCATTATGCACAGCATAAGCCTTCATGTCTTCCCAAACAGTTCACTGCAGGCTTTTCCTCTGTCTGCCAACATAGACTTGTCCAGGGAAACAGGTTCCTTCTTTCTTTCACCTTCAAGGTTCTTGAAGGGAACTTCTCCTGAGGGACTTCCTGTAGCAAACCACCCAGCCACATGGTAGCACTGAGCTCCTCGCCAGCCTCAGGCTTATCCTGTGAGTCTTCTCGTCTCTAGTCTTTTAT